AGTGGTCGCCTTGTCACATCTAGTTCCAGTAACCTGACCATGGATCCATCCCAACTTAATGCTCTCACTCAACAATTAGCCCAACTTGTCACTAACCAACAACAGTTACAAACTCAATTGACGGCTGTCCAAATTGAGATGACGGCTGTTCGTGAGGAAAATAGAAACTTAGCTTTTAGGTTGTCCACCTTTAAACAAACCCCATATACGATTGAAGCTGAAAACTCGGAAGCGTCCAACAATAGGCATTATCGTCGTCCCCACGGTGGCCGACAACACTTAGGCATAACCATAGGGATGGACATCAAGATCATGATAGGAAGCGAGACCGTCATGATACTCAATCCCTTCCTCGCCACGATGATCGTTTCTTTAAAAACATTAAATTGGATACCCCAACCTTTGATAGTTGTTTAGACCCTTAGGTATTTACTCAATGGGTTAGAGATATGGACCGTTTCTTTGCTTGATATGGGGTCTCAGAAGACCAGAGAGTTCAATTTGCTAGTTTGAAATTAACTGGCACCGCTCAACTCTTTTGGGAAAATGTTGAGGAACTCCTAGAGCGACGTCATGCTCCTCCTGTTAGGAGTTGGGATGAAATGAAGTTTCGACTTCAGGAGAAGTATTTACCCCAATCGTATAGGGGTAATTTATTGGATCAATGGAATGCTCTCACGCAAGGCAATTGACCCGTAACTGAGTACGTCACTCAGTTTGATAAATTTCGAATGAGATGTCGGTCGTTGAGGATGAAGCTATGACCCTAAGTAGGTTTAGGCAAGGCCTCAGAGATGATCTTAAACGTGAGCTTGTCCTTCGGGGCGTTGCTACTCTTGACCATGCCTATGCTTNTTTTTCTTTCACGGTTTCTTCCTTTTTCCCTTCTCTTCTTCTTCCAGTGATCCTACATCAGTCGTATCCAGGCATCATTTTCAGATAATTCATGATTGAGATTCTGTTCAACAAGGTTGACTACAATTCCAACTATTTATGCACAACAAAAGCAATTTTCTCGGTAGATGAGAGTCCACGTTGTTTCAGACTCTACGATGCGTACTACGTTTACAGTTGATTCAGCTAAGGAAGGTATTGATGTCCTCCCGGATTCTGGCTGCTCTAATGATGATCTCGGCGGTCCAAAAGGCAATGGTGGTGGTGGAGGCGGCAATAATGGCGGTAATGATAATGAGGGCAGTGAGGGATATGGCGAAAGTGATGATCACGATAAGGCCAGTGACAAGAAAGCGAAGGCACTTTCGATGTCCCAAAATTGACACTTGGTTATGCTACCCTGGTCGGAGTTTGTGGAATTATTGGCTATTTGAAAAGTGGAAGCCAGAAGTCGCTGATTGCAGGCGGAGGATCAGCCTTGCTATTGTATTGTGTTTACACAATGCTTCCAACTAATCCCGTTTTGGCATCAATTATTGGTTTTGGGATGTCGGCTTCTCTTCTAGGAGTGATGGGTTCGCGCTTTAAGTCCAGGAAGATTTTTCCAGCTGGTATAGTCTCCTTTGCATCACCTGTCATGAGTACTGGCTATCTGCATGGAATTTTGCATAGTGTGCTTTGATTATGTGCTTCATGTTTCACTTTAGGCACTCTCTTGGTTGCTTGATACGTACTCTATGAACACTCTCTTAATGTGTAGATGTAAAAATTCTCTATGCTTTGCGTTTTATGTTTCCGAGCTTGGAACTTTAGCGTTGCACCTTTTCTTGGACAACTACAGATTAGCTATTTGTATTTTGTACTGATGACAGATGTTGAGTCGTCCGTTTTGAAAACGGATGCAATGCGTTGAGAACTTTTCATCCTCGTGTAGCTTAATCT